ATACTCCAACATTCAACAAGAGAGCAGAGTAGGTCATCAAGCTTCCATTCTCCAACAGTATAACATTTGGTAGCTTTTGGAAAGAAGACTGAGTTTTATTATTTTATTTATCTAATTTTCTGCAAGTAAAGGTTTTTTTTTTAATTTTTATCCAAAAGACAAAGAAAATCTTAGCTCTGATTCTTCACTAGTTTGTATAACAGATGGCTTAAAAGTCTATGAAACAGTAATACTAAAGAACCCTTCATTGTCCAAACACATTTAACTGCAGCTGTGTGTCTGTGTGGATGATGTACACCAAAAAAGTACAGGCTTCAGAAAAGCACTGCCTCCTCCCCACTGAAAACTTAAAGTGCTGGCCAAACCCAGTGATATAAACCAAACCAGGTACCAACCAGCATGTTCGTGTCTGCTGTACTGTATATTCACATCTCACAGTCCTGGCTGTCTAAGCATTGCATTAGTCCAGCTTTGCATCAGAGTTCAGCCTGTGTGCGTCCATAGCACAGGCATTTAAGACTACAGAGATGTAACAGTATAATAGTATCATAATCTAACCCTCTCCACCTTCAGCCACCTATAACCAGCCAGCTCTGGATGAACCAACCGGAAGCTGTGCCAGTCCCACAAGGAAATATGAGATGAATAAGAGAAGAGCATGAAAAAGAGAGTAAAGCCTTAATAAGAAAAATGAAAGACAAGTTAGATGAAGGTAAAACGCTGCAGGAGGTTGAGAAGAAAAGACCATAGATAGCACACAGAGCAGTATATATCTCTATAATGTCAACTACTGTGGTAGCTGATACAAATGGGAAAGGGGGAGAGAGGAAGTATAAGGTGATTGAGAGGTTTTCCTCATTTGTGTTTACTAAAAACTATAATTCAGAGGTTCCTGTGATGATTGATACTCTGTCCTGAACTGCCTATTTGTGTGAGCACTGACATCAGTGTGTGTATGAGTGCTGGAGGAAGTCTAAAGCCCAGTTTCCCATGCGTGTAATCATCCCAGGATGAGGTGGAGGATAAAGCCGAACGGGACTTCCCCTGGACCAGAGGGTATTTTCCTCTCACACTGTGGTACAAGCACATGGCTGACCTGAGCTGCCTCTGTGTGTGTGTGTGTGTGTGTGTGTGTGTGTGTGCCTCACAGAAAGAGAGTGAGAGAGATATACACCCATGTCGAGTGAGGGAAGCAATTAAAAAAATGATCTATTCTTGCTCATTCACAGTTTGTATGGGAGCTTGTCACTGTGGCAACTGATAGAGCTGCCAACAATGAGCGCGCACACTGTACAGCTACATGAAGGAATGGGTGGCACTGAGGTGTAAATAAGAAAATGATAACGTGTGTATGTGGAGGTTGAGTGAGATGAGAGACTAGCAATGAGAAACTGCTGGGAAAACAAGTCATTAATTTGTCTCAGTCTTTCTGAAGAACAAATCACGTCATAGCAGAGCTGATCCACGCAGTGCAAACACACAAGAAGATACACCGGTCAGTTGCTCAGTCATAAAGCAGCATTACAGTACTGGCTCCCAAATACCCCAATATAAGGCTGCAGCCAGTTCCCTTTCAGAGAATGTGGGGACCATGTGTTTGAGAGTATGCACGTCTGTGTTGCCAGGTGACAGTGCCGATGACTGAGAAGTGAGATAAGTCCCGGAGGCCACTGTATCATCTGTGCATATAGCTCCCTGAGTGTGGGACCTCCTGCTGCTGAAAGCTACCTGATCTCAACCCAGCTTCACTTTATCATCATCAACATCAACCAAAGAAACACAGGGAAGAAGTCAAACTGTGACAGACTGTAGCTAATGCTGTGATAAACATCTTAATGATGCAATGATTTAAAGAGAAACAAATCTGCTTAAGGACTGCTTGGAAATCATGTTGCATTTGCTTTGCATCTCAGTCATGATTTAAGTGCAAACTGGTCTGAAAACTGTGAACAACTGACTACAGTACACAATGACAGAATGTAATGGATTATGAGAAAACAATCTAGCATCTGTATGTATGCATGGAAGTATCAAAATACACGCGTGTGTGTGTGTGTTTGTTTGCGTGCGTACAGATTCTCTGAAAGCAATACTCAGCAAACAGAAACAGCTGAAATCACACACAGTGCTAGCACACACTGCCCACGCGCCTCTCTCACCTCACCACTGCCATGGAACCCAAAAGCCCCTACAAAATAAATTCATTAACCCAGAGAATAAAGCACAGCTGTGACGGGCAATAGGAACTGTTTGAAATCAGTGCCCAGTCTGTGTTCAAGGCAAACAACCTGTTCTCGTTTGGAAATTTGAGCGGGCGAGCTGTGAGCAGTTTTCAATTTAAACCCTAGATGGTGACAGTGCTGACTGTGAGCACAGTGCTGCTTTATTGAAGCACAACAACAAAACAATTCCTCTGCACCAGATGCTTGAGGTCCAGGACCTGTTTTTAATCCGCTCTTTTGAACAGGTTGTATAGAGGTAGTACAAACACAACTGCCAAATACTATAAATATCATTAGTGATGTTGGGTTGGAATAAAAAAGCACACAGATACAGTACATGTTCCAAATCCAGATAATCCAGACTGTGATATTGTGGAATCTGGAAACACATTTTTAAGATTATTGTTTGTAACCTGGTAACTATCAGTGGGTGGACAGGCATCTATTTCCTCTTACACAGCTGCTCCATTTAAAATAGCATATAATTAAACATAATACATCATTTAAATGTCAAAAGCTTTTACTTGTTCCAAACTCATGTTCCATAAAATGTCGGTGCATGCACTACAGATATTATTGGATGGTGGTGTGCTTAATGTGTCTACAGGAAGCTGCCCTCAGGAGCTGGGGTCTGAGCATGACACAACACGGTTCTGTAGTTAAATGCACCACTAGGGGGCTCTGCAGCTTGTAAAATCAGCATCTGCAGACTAGAGCACAACACATCTTACTCATACTGACCTCCCTACGCTGCGGGGTCTGGGCCAAGCAGCCGGACAGATGGAGTCGCCAAAAGACTTACGCCACTGAGATAGATGGAGGTACAAATAGTTTTACAGAGAGTGTCCAAAAATCCAAAGCCAAACCACATTTATTCAGAGTAACCTCTGTGCTGTGCAGCTGCACAGAGGTGAAGACGCACACTGACTGACCTCAGTGTTAATGATACTGTTACGCTCTATAATGGCACTACTATAAAACGAAATGAGAAAAGAACATGGCATAATGCACCTGAAATTAATATAGTATAACAAAGGAAAAGAGTGAAACACTGAGTGCACCCAACAAGTGTGACGAAAACACTAATGTTAAATGAAAGCAGAGGTATTTTCCCATGCATATATTCTTCATCTCTCAGTCGTGGATGGATAATCATTCTATGACTTCATTCTGGACCTGCAGGTCATTTCAAGTTCACTTAACCCAGCTGAAGGCAGCATTAACATTGTGGTTAGATGTAAATATCGTAGCAAAAAAAAAAAATGGACTGTTTCGATTCCTGGATAAACTAGAAAGCACGATGAGGGAAAAAAAATAAATAAATAAAACCAAAAACCTAACTCTTATCAGCTACTGTCATGCTGCCCTTTAGCAATAACCTCAATTCCCAGCTCAGCATAGATGTGTAGCAAATTTTGCTGTGGAAGGGAGGCCACCTCATTTTCTAATTTTCAAACTGTTGGGAATGGACCTCCTAGAGTAGCTGCTGACATTTCTCATCCTGCCTTGAACCTGAATGAACCCTCTGCAGCCGTTTGCTGCCCCTCATCCGAATCAAACCATGAAACATTGCAAATAAGGGATGAGGGCTCAGAGATAATCCAAATGAAGACCAGATGCACAGCAGGCACCATCTTTGGGACTGACTGTATAAGAAACTAAATAAATGAATACATGAAATAAGTCGGCACACGTCACCTTGCATTAATCCATGTTACAGACAGACTGTAAAATGTCCATTTTAACAGGCAGAGCTTTTGTAGTTGGTTACTTTTCAGGAGACAACCTGCTCTGTAGGTGCTCTGTGTATAAAACATTGTGCTGCTTGTATTGTGTCTAGTAGCTACTACAGTGTGACTATTGTACCTAAATTTATTTAATGCATGTGAGTGTATGTTTTTAATGTTTCCGGAAGCAAACTGCATCACTTTTCAGAAGCCTTTACGGGATCTGAGCCATCTGACACAGTTGCTGCACGTCAGTATACACATCCTCCTGTAAAGAATACCTAGCAGTGATAACATCACTTTGTCAACTCACTTAATTTCATCCAATTCCCTCTCTTCTGCCCTGTCCCCTGTCTTCCCCTATGACTCCCATCCTCACCACAGCTGGTAAATATTTTTATATTGTGTTCCATTAAGAAAGCTTTATTAAGCGGTCAGACAGGGCAAATGGCGCCTGGGAGCTCCTTGTCCTCTAAACAAAGGGAAAGACCCTGAAAGCTGCAGCTGAGCACTAAACTAAGGCCACATTAGAGAACTGCTTAGGGAGCGAGTGAGTAAATATTTAAATTTGTTGGATTCACCCCAAATAGTCAGGGGCGATAGTTAGGGACACTGTGGAAAGAAAACTATCATGATTCATTTTTGAGCCAATCTATGGAATGATTAGTAAACAGATGTAAAGTTGTGGTACTGAGTAAAAACAAAAAAAGCCACTGATCATATGAACAAGAAAGATATGGTGTTTGAAACGGGCAGTGTAAGGAACTAAATAACTGTACAATTCATATGAACTGTTCATACTTCTGACAAACTACAGCAGAGTCCAATGACATATTGAACTGAAAGATTTATAGTAAAAGCAGTGCACTTTGTAACATGGCCTTCTTCATGTTTGAATACTTTAACACAGAAGAACTATGGTTTCTGCATACAAATAAAGTTATTCCAGTTTTACTGTGCATCCTCATGTATGTAGCTTTGGTACGATAAGTGAACGTCAGCATGCATGTGCCCCTGTGTGTAGTGTATGAACTGATATTTGTCGGTCCACCTCAGCGCTTTTCTCCGGAGCGTCCATCACCACCATGTTGTCTCTGAGAAGCTGCTGTAGGAACTGCACCTGGGCAACACTGAGGTAGAAATCCAGACTGCTGGTGACGTTCACCTCCAGAGAGTGGCCACACACCACCACCTCCTAGACAGATGAGGGAGGTATTACAGGGTACAGGGAGGTGGGTGGAGGAAACAAGAAAAACATTCACTAAGGAATCAGGACTGTTTGTGATCTCATGCATTGCTTCTTCCTTTCTGAACTTTTATGTTCTTAGTCTGTTTACTCTCAACTATCTTGTTCTGTTTAGTTCAGTTGTTCCCTTCTTCCCCTCTTCACTCTGTTGTCTCCAGGGTCCCACCCACAGCCAGCAGTTCAAACCCTCAGCCTGGAGGCTACATCTAACAGGATATAACTCAGTAACACTCTGGGCTGAGCCACACACACACACAAGCCTGCAGTAACTACACACAATACTGGCCACTGCTATGTAAACCTCATCTATTCAGATGCACAGAACAGACTTGCCACATTAATATCACAATTAGGTAATGATGATAATAGTTACAGAATATATTGCATGGTGAATAAAAACTAAAAGCAGATCAGAGGCTGCAGATTATAATGCATACATTAATAATTTAATAGACAGTTGTCACATCTGATAAGCATGCACATATTTATTATAAGCTGTTAGAGGTAAGCTTAAAATGACTATAAAGTTTATTATAGATGTTGTAGAAATGCATCTGCACCACACAGTTCAAAGTCCTGTTCTGTTTGTGTTGTTATTGGCTCCGAGTCTCAGGATCTCTGGGAGTTACACAAGTGTGTGTCAGTGCAAACTATGGATTAGCTGTTATGCATTGTCAAGGGGCAAGTTAGCGTGGACAGACGAGGCATCAAAGAGGCAGGAAGTCTCAGAGAGCTGTGCCAGAAAACATCAGCTGTATAAGCAGAAAGGTTTGAACTCTGCGGGTCAGAAGCCTCCATTACATGGCAGGCTGGCTGAGGGATTCCTAATGAGTAAGTTACTGTATGGTAAGAAGCAAAATGTAAATATTTCTGACATCTCACATAATCACTGTCTATTTTCATATGAACAATGGATTGGTTCTAACAGGTCATGGTCAAAGGGCACAAGATGTCGGAGTCAGTAGTGAACAAACTTCTACAAAGTAGATGAAGGGAATATGCAACTTGTTTTCAGTCCTAAGAAAACCCTTATCCAGGACCTGTTCTCATTATTTTCAGATATTAAACCATGATGTTCAAAATACCGATACTGACATTTTTGATTTGATTGTTTTTAGTGGAATGATTTTGCCACAATACAAATCAAGATTTTTCTCATGGGAAAAACTGAAGGATGTAATGCTGGTTTAATTAAAAGCCATGCAGAGCTGCTGCTGACCTCTGCCTGTCCGCTGTCAGGGGAGAGGTTCTTGCTGAAGATGATGGCTGGAGCAGCGGTCACTCGAACAGAAAAATCAGTCAGGAGTGGTGTCAGGATGGCGCGCCGCTCCTGGTGCCTCCTGATACTGTACAGACATACACAAAGTATCAAACTGTTAAGCGATACTTTTTCAGACAGGTTCCGTAACTTATCCATCTCTGTTATTTTTCTCCTAAAAATAAAGAAAAACTATGGGATGAAATGCACTGGTTGCACAACATCTGGAGAACATAACTGTAACAGAAGGTTCTCCAGATGAGATATGTACTTGCAAGAAGACTTACGCACACCTTACAGCAAATTTAATGTTTTCATTCAAAAGGTATTTGTTATGCAATTATATTTTAGTTAGAAGTGTATGTATGTGGGTGCAGAAGTGATTCCAGCACTTTACACTACTGTACAACAGAAACAGCAACCGTACGGGACCATTTATATAAAATTAAACACCTTTTATTTATAATAACTTGCTATGGTTACCAGCTGTAAAATCTTTATAAAGTGCTCCACATGCCTAAGAATGACAAGTCAACACAACACAATCCAAAAACAAGAAATATTTACATCTGAGCTATTGCTATGCCCTTAGCTGACAGGCAAACACACATTTCAAACTTGCTCTGACTTTCCAAATTCAAACCAGTAGGATGAAAAGCTGAACTCAAAATAAGAGACAAAAATATTTTTGGCATTTTTTAAATATCTGGTCAAACGCATTTTAGCTGGAAGCTTGAAAATAGTTTTAGAGGGCGAGTGAGACATTATTTGACAAGTTTCAATTCGGAACACCCCTTAATTGTATACACAAGATCAAACCGAGACCTTCTCACATCAACTCTCTGTTTCACTAATGTTCATTCCCATAATCAAGTCGTATTTGTGGGGCCATTTGTTACTGTAAAACAAATACACAAGTGGGCTTTATAAGGTGGTGTTAATTGCCACATCTGCTGCTATTAAAACAATCAAGCAGTACAGCTTCCAATATTTATAGTTGGCCAGGATTATAAAAGGCCCCGTTTCTAGGTGGCCTCGAGTACAGTTCTTAACCAGATCCAATATCATATTCACTTGTGCTACACAACTGTCCATTACCAGTGCCCTTAAGGGATTATTTCCTGACACATTTCTCTGCATTGAGAGGCTGGGGGAGGCCTAATTCATAGGTCAAATGATCTGTGGGGCCAATTGGTGTTGGCTGATCTCCCCTCAGACAGGGACTGAAACAACGAGTGTCTAGTTGCAGGGGACAGGTGCTATCATTCACCAGCAGGGCTAGGACGCATGAGTCTCACTTTACCAGTAATATGGGGCCTCTGACCGGGCAATAGAACTCTGGCTTTTTGTGTGCACGTACCTTTGAATGGGTGAGGTGCAAATAAAAGACGGAAAAGAAGGACCCTTCTTTCATACAAAGCTATGCAGTGTGAACAGTGAGTGGGGATATCAGCAGCACAGACTAAATGCACAGAGCGGGTAACAGGAGGGGACAGGCAGAGAGTTCACAGCTCCCCAACAGGGTCTTTCCTAGCTGGCAACTACACACAGTGACGAGGACAGATCCTGTCAGCGGATCCATGGTACTGGAATTTCCTTGCAAAACCTCAGGAAGCCAACTAAGGCCACTGCAGATCCACAGCTACTGGAACTGAACCCAAAAACTGCAGAGCGAACACGCCATGGGGGTATCAATGTAGGGAATGAGGGAAAGGTGTGAACTTTGGAAGTGGTGTGTGTCAAAACTTGTTACAACGATGGTGGTGCACTTCTGCGGGTGATTGCAGCAGACAAGTAAAGCTGTGAACTGGATGGCCCTTTCCACTGTTTATTGGAACATTCTACATGTTCAGTTATGACTGGTCGAGGAGGCGGCTGAGGCTGAGCTATACAGCGCAGCACACAGTAGTACAGCAAAGCCCAGTTTCCAACAGCGCTGTTCCAAGGAGAGAGGGGAACATGGAAGCAACCACAGCCACCTCGAGTGATTTGTTTGGAAGTTAAAAGTGAGAGTTGGGGTGAAATTCACAAACCTCAACAACCACAGCAGTTTTGACCTTCTCAGTATGACCACCCAGAAACACACATTTACTGGTGGGAATCTCAGTTATTTCGATATGAAAATGAGTAGACATGAGCAAAAACACCAAAACAGAGACCTGTGCTGAAGAGGAATGAGAACAAGGCACAGTATAAATGACCTTCTTTACAATATAACGCTGTGTGCCAATGCTTAGAGTACAAAAGTAAAGCTGAAGTTACTGGTTAGGTCACCCTATAATCAAGTTCTGAACAGAAATCCAGACCTGCAGAAATAGCATGTCAAAAGAAAGTTTAGTCTTCTCAAAAGGCATTCATCATCTTCTGGAGACCAAAGTGTGAGCCCAAAATCTCACCTCATCACCCTTTTAGACAACCTGGCCTCAGCACTCAGCTCAGGCAGCCGCGTTTTCATCAACAGAGACATATTGAGCATAAGCACGAAAAAATTTAAGTGCTTTGAGCCTCAGTAGACCTTTGCTCATACTTTGTGAGTTTGTCAAACTCAGTTGTACGATAAGATTTTAAGACTAAAATAAGTCAGTCTGCTACATACTGTAAAGGAGCTGTTTTACAACATATCCTTGCTGCCACAGTTGGAGAAAGTCAACACAGGGGAGGATTGTGGGATAGATGGTTAAAAAAACTGGAAAGACAGAGGGAGGAAAAGAAAAAGTCAAAGTGGTCTAATGGTTAAACATACCATCTCATAGGTGAACTCCTGTGTTTTGATGAAATGTCAAACACAAAAGCTCCACTTGCTTACTCATTCTGAGTCATTCTGGCTGAAAGCATCATCTAAAATGAGATGTGAACACTACGATTTAAGGGTTTCCATCATTTGACTGACCAAATACAGAGTTGAGAAAGCACTGGTTATTTTCTATTACAATATAAAAGCAACACAATCCAATTAAGTAAAGAATGCATAATAACTCGAGAGTCTAACAGCTATTCCTGGGCTCCTTATAAGCTGTGTTCACTCATATGGACCACATTTGTTTGAACTGAGTGCACTAATGTTTTTGCCAGGTTTAGTCAGCACCTACTGTATATTGTACCTTGACATTAACTAAATACCTTCCAGTTTCCCCTTATAACACAATGTCTTATTTGCTTGACCATGATGAGATTAATCAGCCACCTTTTCAAGTGTTTTTGGCATTGTTTGCCTTTATTACAAAGTATACAGTAGCTAGACCACCAACAGGAAGAAGAAACTGTAAGAACAGGGTCAATAAATCTTGAGTAGTTGTCATAATAAAGGTTCTTATTGCAGGTCTGAGAGGTGAGGGCTCAGCATTAGTATCAGCAGCACATCATCACACTGTGTGTGTGTGTGTAAAACATACAGTATGAGCATGTCAAAGTTTATAATGAGTGTTTCTGTGCATGTGTGCTGGAGTATGTCTGTGTGTGAAAGGTGTGCGTATCTCAGTCGGCATCACTCTACTGATGACCTCAAAGTTCTCAGTCTCTATCAGGCCTATGCTGATTTTGTACTGCATTCTTCCACAAGGCTTATTTTTAGTTGACAGGGAACAAATCTGGACCCTTTGCCTGTGATTCTGTGAGCTTTGGGCCTGTTCCCTCTCATAACATGAGTGGAAAAAAAGGATGTGGGGCCAAACAGCCTGTTACACTCATGCTTGTTTTAGCTCCCAAGTCTATAAAAAAAATGACAGGGTTTGTAATTATATATGGAGAGGCTCCATGATAGAGCGCTCACCCAATAACTACATGCTGCTCCCACATTAAGATTGATCAGATAAATTATGAATTATTCGCTGATGACACACATCTATTACCTGGCTAGGGGTGTAACAATTTAACCTAACAGCAATGAGATAAAAGCACTTCAAATTCCTAAAAATGCACTTATGTAACATAGTTATTATTATTAGGATACGCTGGCTGAGAACCATGAATGTCGGTACAAAAAAGAAAAGATGCATGTGTACTGTATGTGCGTGTGGCTAACTGATTGCTGTACAGCATTTTACGCCAATCCATTTTACAGATGTTTGCAGTGAAATATCAGAGAGGTCAGGTGATCACCAAACATTAATATTCATCTGCTATGGACCATGAGTGTTTCTCAAGTCTCTTGTATGGGTTGTCATTTTCCTCACTTGCGTCTTTTCCTTGCTTAGTCTTGTCCAAGTAAGATGTAAGGAAAAGATGCAAGGAAAACATGAAGAGAGAGGACTCCAGGAAACACATTACCAACATTAGACATCCTTTCTTACTATCCTTCATCTGAAGCATCCAACCACCACCTAAATCCTGATAAAGGTGCGTAACGGTTCATAAAAAACTTCCGCAAAAGATGGTCTCATGTATCCTCACTCACGGCCCCTCCAGCAGGATGCCCACTCTTCAGAGCTGATATAAGGGACTTTGAATGTCAGAGATCGTCTGTCAACTGGAATGACTTCCAGGCTGAGCATGGATTGAGAACCGAAGAACGATCACATAACGCGTATGGGAAACACCCCATGAATCCATCTGCTGTAATATACATTATCCTGTGATATTTCTGTCCACACACATCAACCATTCTGATCGTAAAGATCTAACAGCTGTTTTAACCTTTGTCAAGGAGTTGTTTTTGCTCTACACCCATCTTACACATACAGGTGTTCTTTGTTGTTTCATACCAACCCTGACAAATGCCACAAGCCGAATCAAGGTAAGATACAGTTGTTCTTTATACTTCGAGAGTCGCTGGAGTTTTTAACCTCCTAAGATTGATTTCCCTTTTGCCTTTACCTTGGCATTGGGTGAAGTGGTCCCTGAAATCCCTACTCTTCGAAGGACTACCGTTAACAGTTTAATGAACAGCTGCTGCTTTAAAGCACAAGGAAGATACAGAGCAACATGGGCACTGGAGTTCTCTTTCTGGCCTCCAAATGATTATTAGTGCAATAATCAATAATATTTTGGCTCTGTTTTGATATACGCAGCCATAAGACAAATACTTGGCTCTGCCTTGTTAAATGCTTGACTTCGCCTGTCGTTCATTTCCTTTGGTCACAGTTATTTTACACTGGTTCATTAAACACAGAGTTGATTTGAGTAGGTGCTTATGACGGGAGTGGTTATCAGTGCTCCCATCAAACGTTACAGACAACAGCACATTTTGTAAAGAATGATACTGGAACATTACTAAAGAGAGAAACGCTATTAAAAAGTGTCTAAAAACCCCTGGGGCAAATAGTTGGTACAAACTGAACATTGGTACCTTCTTACAACATGAATAAATACATCTAGCATGTCCCGCTCAGTCCTAACATGCAAACAGCGAAATGACTCCTGACCTGCTAGCCATGTTCCACTCCAGGGCTGGGTTCTGGGAGTTCCTCTCACTCTCCGCCAATACACCTCCTTTGATTCCCTCCTTCTCTGGCTTAAGTTGCTCCCACTGAGCTGTTCCAATGGTGATGGACTGAAGGTCGACCTGGTACTGACGGTCCTCCACCTCTGAACCTGGGTCACGCAGGATGCCAAGGTTCAGTGCACGTCTAGAGGAAAGAAAGGAAAGACTGTTTTGTTAAGCCATTTTATATTCAATTAATGAGCTAACAATTCTGTATAGTCCAGGCCAGTCTGCAGAACACCCAGTCCACAACATGGGAGGTAGTGCAGTCACTGAACTAGCAGGTGTGTAAGTCCAACTAGCCTAAAGGTATAATGCATGGTCTTGCTGTTGCTGGGGGTTACATATTATGTGGTGCCATGTTGTGTCAGGTTGAACTTTAAAACGAACTACTCCAGGAGAAGACCAGGTGATCTTTTCTACTGAACCACTACTGAAGACAGACTGGCAGCAGGTCCTAACCACTAATACTGACTTCTCCCTTCATTTTGGCTGTTCAGTTGTTTAGTAGAGCAAGTTTGTTACAAGGTGATTTATAAGCACCAGGGTTAAAGTCTCTGGTACTTGTACAGCCAGATAAACAGTCCCACAGGCCACAGGTAAAATAATTACCCTTTTTTAAATTTTCTGATTCATGCCAGCTTATCATTGGCAGTAAACACTTCTTAACCCTTGCTGGATGGTACAGCAGTCTACAGACTGTGGCACTTATTGCCTTTCTTTTTCTATTTCTATCTCCAGAAACACAGGACTTCCACGCTATACACAAACTGTAATATGGTAGGAGAGATGTAGAGATATATCGGGAGTGGGCAGCACTGTCGCTGAACTGCTACAGTCAAGTGAGCAAACACTGCCCCATTAGTGCCAAGAAAAAATGATGTCACCTATTTTGCCTTTGAGAGACAAGATCCTGACAAATTCACAAGGCAAAAGGAATAATCACAATTCAACATCTGCATATGACATCAGAGCTTTCAGTTCGTTATGATATGTTTATTTGTGCTGGTGAATTCAAATGAGAGCTTAAATGGTATAAATAAAGGCTTAAAACGGCTACAGATGTAGTGGCAGCATGAGTAATTTTATTTGTTTCGGCAACGTCAATGGCAATTTTCATATAGCGTTTCCCCTATTTAGCCACACTGGAAAGCCCTCTACCAGAGCATGATGTTATGACAATAAGCACCAAGTACAAAAACAATGGCATGGGAGATCAGAGGTGTATAACTGGATTTAGTTGGATTTGTTGACATACAAACAAGTGAAACAGATCCTTAATCAACATTTGGAACCACATTTATCAACAGAGTATAATATAAATCAAACCAAGAGGCCTGTAAGATTCGGGTGGGATGTGTCAGTCTAGATTCATTAGGGCTTTTGTAACAGTACCTCCATCACCCTCTTCAACCTCAAACTGTGTTTTTCACATTAAACAAACCACAGTTACCTCATATGCCTTCCAAATTATCTCTTAACTTCAGCTTATTTCGGAAACTCTCTTACTCATAATCAACATAACATGGATGTCTGCAGCCAAGTCTCTGCATTGCTGAGCTACAGGGTCATCTCCAATGACATAAATAAATATGATAAACATTTGTCTTGGTCATGCAGCCAGTGGAAACCAGTGCGATTTAATATCAAAAGACATATTTCAGCCAATAGCAGTAAATGAGAGAGCTTCATTTCTGACAAATGAGGAGGGGAGGAATTTTGGAAGTTCCCCTTGGGGTGCAATAATAATTGAAGCCAGATTTTCTTGTTGTACATGTGGGGGGAAATCACTAGCGGCCTGACATATCTGATTGGTCATGTAAAGACCACACTGCTTGGCCAAGAGGAATCAGAGAATGCCTTGGGAAAGCACTGCACTCACTCTGCCCGCCATGTATATGAACAAACTAAAAACATACAGAGCGAGACAGGTGTAACAAGTTGTTCAGCTGGGACTCTGGGTCTTCTGCCATTATCAGACATCTGCCTACCACTAGCATGTGGAAAATATTGAGGAAAATGAGAAGAACAAGTCATAAATGACATGCTTTTGCAGATGAGGTGGGGGAGGCTTGGGCGGAGGGGGTGGGAGAGAAATTTTCCTCGAGCACAAGTATTTAGTTCTGCCCTTGTTCCCAGAGCCAACCTTATTTTAATTGCAAGGAAAGACCACAGGAACATTATGTTTTATGACTAAACTCTGCTATTTATAAAAGCGGATCAAAAGCTCTGCAGCAAGAGCACTCTGTTTCATGGCATTCATGGCTATTATTTTAAAAAACACATCTCCCTTTTCTGAAACAATTTAAACCCAACTTGAGTCCAAAAAGCCACTGGGCTGATTTTGCACCAAAGCTGAAATATTATGGCTCCCATCCAACATTATAATGCCTCAGAGTCAAAGCCTCCATCCAAGTCAAGTCATCCAGTGGGAAATGGCAGACAAAACAGCAAACATGGCCGTGTTGTACATCTAACTGCAGGACTTGAAAAGAGCACTGCACTGGTACTTTATCATTGGGAGAAAAGAAAAAAGTTGTTTCAAATTCCTTTGAACAGAAGATATGTAGACACATTTAAAAATGGGGAAATTAATTGCATGATCTGTTTTTCTGTTTATCACTCTTATCCTTGCATATGCTGGCAAAGCATCAAGCACATGCTTAACATGTGGCAAATTTGAGACTGTGTGCTAAGGTGGTAATAGCATTCAAGGTAAAACCTTATGGCCACTTGCAAAACATCTCAGTAAACACTCACACTAGAATGCACATGTAGCCGACTGTATATGAAAAACAGTAAATAATCTTATCTCAGAATCTCACACGCTGCTGCTGCATTTCATGGTATTGGGCATAACCAATGGGGGATTTACTTTGCTTCAGAACACAACTTTGAAATAACATCCAGATTTGGAATACGGAACTTGCATGACAGTAGACAAACTGTGTAAAAATAAAGTTAAATACATTTTACGAGCATATACAGAATAATACTGAACAGAGACAATGGGTAAGAGAAGCTTTTTGGAAAAGAGTGAAGATGGAATCTTAGGGAGGCCTGATTACTATGCAGAGGTTTTGAAGGCTAACAGTGACTCAAGGTTGTAAAACAAACCACAGTGGGGCCTGGTTGAGGTTCAGAGCTTGATGGTAGGAGTGTGGGAGCAGTGGGCTGTGTTGCTAAAGAGATCCTGTGGGGCAGGTTGTACTGTGGCTTTCGATGGCCTCCCATCCTTCCTCTCTGAACCACCCCTCCCCTCCCAGGCCAGTGAGACAGGCGCCGCTAGCTTCTGGATCTCGTCACTCAGAAACCCGCAACCTGAACCCGCAACCCCAGACCTGTTTTTCACTTCATTTCCCCAACAATAACATGCAATACATGTCCGCTTATAAAGTATGTTCAACTGAGGCAGGAGTGTATGTAAATTTGCGTGTAAGAGAGATATGGCCCTCTGCTTCTGCTCTTCTGAACATAAATACTGAGCAGAAATTTCATTGATCTTAATCTTAATTTCTACCAAGTGAAGCTAAATTAAGTTTGCACACAGCTTCCATGGTTTTTGTTTTGAGCAGGCCCCAAGTAATATAAATCTGAACTGAAAGAACACATGCTACATGAAACTCTAACAGTGCATGTCCTGCAGTGTCATTTCATTTGGTCTGAACCACGTTTCACATGCTAACATAACATCCAAGAGGCAGTGGGTTATTGTGAAACCAGCATAAATAGTGTTTCCCATCCACAAATTCTAAAAAGTAAAGTGTCCAGTTGAGGTTTTGATTTTCTTCCTCTGTAGCTCCAAATGTTATTAGCCAAACACCATTAAGACCCAGCAATGCCTCCATGGTATTTCTGTGGCGGAAAATCCAAAGCTGGAGTCAGTGGCTTCTCAAACAGCCTGAGATGCCACTGACTCCCTGTGACTTCCCTTGGAGTCCCCATGGCTTAGCTGAGTCTCACTTGGCCTGTATGTGTGTGCTGAGGGGGAATTCATAAGCATTATGATTTATGAAATGTTCAATTACTTAGTAAGTTAAGTGCCTCTGCCTACGGTGGTCCGCTCTGAATTGCCAACTTCTGAGATGTGGATTTATGACCACAGTCAAGTCCAATTGCTGTTAATTTGCATCTACCAATTATAGTAATTAAGGCTGTGAATCAGAAAGTAGAGCAGCCATCAAATTGAGAGGGGAAAATGATATGGAATAAGGTGAATTGGCAGAATTAGACCCAGTCACTCGCACATTTTCAATGTGCTCCAACTGAAATCATTTTTGATAACTGGAGCTTTTTCAACAGATGCCAAACAGTCACAAAAATAAAATATTTAAGACAACAACACTGCAACAATGCTCAAATTTTGTTTTGCTTGGCAATCACAAAGTACTTACAGTACTTGCAGGTGTTTTAAGTCAAATAACTCCAATATAGTTTTTTTCTCACTGGGAGAGTATAGAGTAAACAGACATTTCTGCTTTACTGCATTGTTTCTAGACTTTGATGTACAGTTTGCCTTGTCAAAAACTCAATAATCTATTCTTTTTTAAGCCCAATGGCTTTATCTTCACTGCTGCTTCCAACAGAAGACTGCTATTCATTAGACTGATTGCACTTTAAAGACACTCATGCTCAACCGATTATATCATATTTACACAGGGCCTTAGAAGGAAACTGTTACTTACATACAATACAAGCAGGCCTTAGCTCAAGCTCATACCACCCTCATGACAGAGGTACGTGCTGGTGAGGAGCTGAGAGAAAGTGCTCCAGAAGACGCCCCTCTGTTTACAATGACATGATGTACACCAAAAGCACTTGGATTTCTTAATTACAGGAGTCATTTATCTCCCATGTAGCTCACAAGCCAGCGACGTTACCTTGTTATAAACGCGGTCTGGGCTGTGTTAGATGTGTTGCTCTGAAGACACAGACTAACGTGTGCTCACCATGATGTCAGTCTGGCCAGCGAAGTTTATGGACTCATCATGCACCAATTCAAAACCTGCCTCTTGCATCACTGTTGCAATTACACCATGTGGGAAGACTATACAGATATTTCACTTGGCTTCAGCTGAAATGTATTTTGTGGAATTCACACATACAAGTGACTACACAAATTAGACCGATCACCTAATCTTTCAC